CCCAAATTCCGTCTGCCAACAAACTAATTAACTAATAATGAAGTGTTCTAAAGCTTATTAAAGTATATTTTACAGAATATTAAAGTAGAATTGTAAATATATTTCTTGTTCTTATTCTATTTTATTTAAAACTAAAAATTTTTATTTATTATTCTATGTCTGTAATTAATTGCATCTTTAACATAGTCAGAGAGTGCGGTCCAGTTTTCCCCGTTTAATGCCTCTATTATTTCCTCCTCTGTAAGAGTGTGCTTCCCATAGAATTTGTAGCGCATTTCTTTCAGAATTGGACATAATCCAATAAAGTGTATTATGTCTTCTGGCTGGTCTAAATTACACAATGAACAATGTGTTGAATTTACTTGCACATATGGTCTATAGTTTAACTTAAGGAGTTCGCCCCGAGTTTTAAAAATCTGGCTGATAGTTCCAATAGTATAATCATCCTAATAAACATCCTAAAAAATTCCGATCGCGTAATTCATATTCCAACCTTTTGTAAGTATGTCTATAATCACTTGCCCTTGCTGCCAACGTAAATTTAGCTCTTTCATTCAACATAATTTTTATCAATAGTTTTTTTTTGCCACGAACGCCATACTTCTCTATTTTCGAGCAACAATATCTCATCATGCGTATTAGCCAGTGATTGCCATTTTTCAACAAAACCTGTCTTCGTATTTGCGAGGAACCTTGCCAAAATTTTAGGGAGTCTATTGTCACTCATATTCATGACGTGATTTATATATTTAAAATGTGGTTTTAGCGTCTCTATATATAAAGTTGACAATCCTGTTTCTAAATGCAGCATATAATTGGGCGTGTTTTGTGGTAACTTGAATATTCTTTTTATGAAGTACCTTTGAAGCATTTCTACTTCGTTAAATTCGTCTATTCCCCATACCTGTGCTGCATAAAAGAGGATTGATCTTACCGCAGCTTTAAATACTTGCAACTTTACCGAGAACGCAACCTCATTTTTTCCCAAAATTACTTTCCATGACGAGTTTATTGCTTTTCTGGCTTCACTTAACTTTTTACTGAGATGTTCATTAAATTTACCATTATAACTGATCCAAACTCCTAAATATTTGTATTCTTTCACTACTTCTAACGCTTCACCATTTAAGTTCCAAATTTCATTTTTCATAAGCCTTCTGCAATTCCTTTTGAATATAATAATTTAAGATTTAGAAATATTTGTTTTAAGTTTCCATATCATACAGTAGGAATATAATTCATTGATCATAGTTTGCATCTTTAAAGATGAATCCGCTATAAGTACTAAATCATCTGCATATAATAGTAATTTAATACATGTACCATTTATTAAGATACCTTCGGAAAGATAATTGTTTAAATCGTCTATGAACAACGCAAAAAGAAGAGGGCTTATCAAGTAACCCTGTTTTACTCCTGTGTTCGAAGAAAACCACTTAGAAAGACTGTTTCCATCCCATACTGCTGCAGTCGTGTTACAATATAACGCCCTCAGTATGTTTAGCATTTTTGTAGATATACCATAATTACTTAATTTATAAAACATAGCATCTCTGTCGATGGAATCAAATGCGGCTTTAAAGTCTACAAAAAACACGTACAATTTTTTTCCTTTTTCAACGTATAATTTTGCAATATTTGTCAGAACATTGCCCACAGTTGAGTAACCTCGCCTGAAGCCTGCTTGGGATTCACTTAGTAGTTTTTTAGCGTGGACCCAACTTTGCAGACGTTGATGTAATAACATGTTATGCCTGTAAATACTTTTGCTATCGAATTTAAAAATGATATTCCTCTATAATTTTTTACTTCATGCGGATCACCTCCTTTAAATAGTGGAAAAACTATTGAATTTTTCAAATATCCCGGTACTTCTGCATTATGGTATATGTAGTTAAAAATCTCTGTAATCCTTGTGATACCTTCACCTGAAGCCAATTTTAAAAATTCTGCTGGAATTCTATCTCCAGGCGCTTTATTTTCTTTGCAACGCTCTAAAACCTCTGTTAATTCAACTACCTCGATTTTTTTGTCTAATTCATTGATTTGAGTTAGTAGTTCTGCGTAACTAAAACGACTTATATTCTCCGTTGCGCTTAAAAGTTTTTCAAAATAAGTACCTAGAACGCCCGAATTAAGATGCACTGACTTACTGAAATTTATGCCATTTACTTTACATACATTATTCCAAAAGCTTTTGAAGTCTTTTATTATTAATTTATTAACTATTAATTTTTTTCCGTTCCTATCTAGAGTTAGATCTTTTGCATTTCTATGTAACTTTGCGTTTTCTTGGGGTAATTCTGGAATAAACTCAATAGCTTGTTCATTTCCTATTCTTCCATTAAAATCGCCTATAACCATCACATTCATATTGTCTATATCATATAGTGCGTCCCTTAAGTCGGTGAAAACAGCATCCCAATTAATACAATTTTGATCTTCCAATTTTAGCTCAACCACCATAAAATTAGCCATCTTATTATATTGCGCTATTCCTTTATCATACACTTCTTTCTTAATACCATAGAGCATTCCACCACTGGTACGCCCCCCAAATCATTGACTATTATAATATTCAAACAATATCACAAATAGTTCCCTTATATTTCTTTTCAATAATAGCAGTATCTATATATATATATATAACATCTGAACTAACGTACTGTGATTCCGCAGAAGTTCATTGATCCTAAAACTTTTTAAAAGTTTAAAACATTGTAATTGGATTTCATTTTTATTGTTAAACAATTTCACTTGCAATTTTTTTATTATGTATATATATATTTTAAATAAGTAGAACTTAAAAAATTTGTTTACACTGTTCAATTATTTCTTAACGTATAAAAATATATACATAGAGGTGTATATATCTATATAAAATGAATTTAATTAACATCTAATCTATGCAGTTTTAAAAGCATACACATATATATTCATATATGTTCATATACATAAACATATATACACATACAAATATATAAATATATATACATTTACACATATGTATTATATGCATTTAAAAAGCATTAAGAGTTGAATTTATTTATTACAAACCAATTTTAATAATATTTCTATGAAGTTTTCAAATAAATGTTTTCAATTTATTTATTAAACCAAATCTACTTTTTATATTTTCCAAGTATACACTTTAACTAGATTTTAAAACTTTTGCAATTTTTTTAATAATAAAAAATTGTGTAGTGTATCATTTGCAATATTCATCGTTTTTTTATTCTAGAAAATTAAATGCTTTATCTAATTTAAAATATAAACTATAACTGATTTATATGAAATATACAATATCGATTATACAAAATCAATTGATCATCACCTCTAAAGAGCGCAACAACAGAAATGTTAGATTAGTTACCAAGAAAAAAAAAAATTAGTAAATAAATTCAAAATAAATCATAAATTTTCTTTAGACATAAATAAATTTAGTAATTTTTATTATGTTAAATAGTATAGTATAGTCTAAATTTACGTTTATTGTTTCACAAGAAATGCATAGTACATAATGGTTTGTTATAGAGTATTAAAAGTGTGAATTTACAAATAAACTAATTTTTATAACGAACACAATTATTTGGCATATCAATTTATGCTTTCCGGTTTAAACTGAAAAATACTACCACAAATACAAATTTTTCAAATTTAATTATTTTAGATTTGCAGTCGAAATTTATTTTGGATACATATGGTATACATAGTACGTTAATTGAAGTTAAATAAAACTGAAAGTACTGTGCGTCATTTAAAATATTTACTTTTACATACAAATATACAAATACATATATTATTGACAACTTAAGTACTTCTATAGTTTTAAATTTTAAATATTTCGAATTGAGAAGTTGAGTTTTAAGACAAAAAAGAATTATTTATATCAATGCAAGTTTATCTAATGAACTTCAATATTATATTTCATATTTCTTCTTCACAAAAACTATTCAAACTATTCAAACGATTTAATCGAATACAAACTGAAATCTATACTTCTCATTTTAACTTCAATTATCAACGAGCCACAACTAAACGTCAGCCTTATGAACTACATATATTAAGCTATATATTTGAGCTGCATTTACATAAAACTTAAAGATACAAAAAATAGTTTAAATCTCTTTAAAAATGCTTAATCAATTAATAAATTTTAGATAAAAAATTCAAGTACTATATACGACAAAATCCGTGCACAAAAAAAAAAAATTAAAACAATAAATATGTAGGTTAGGTTGGTGTGGTAACCTTATGTACCAAGGCTCATTTGACCGCAAATAAGACCCGTTATGCTACCACAAATGAGATATAGTCAGTACGCCAGAACTAAGGGACCATTTTAAAGGTAGAAATCCGAAGCATCTGGCGCACGAACAGCGTCCCTTTGAGAAGGCTTTGAGAAGAAACAAAAATAATTTAATGTGTTTTGTAACTTTAAAATTAAAGAGAATGCGATGCACTGAAACTATTTAAAATTAATTTAATTTTTAAAAATATTTAACTTATGCAATTACACCTAATGTTTAAGGTTTAATTTAGGTTTAACGCTTATTTTTATTTAACATTAGTAATTATTTTTTGTTCATATTTCTTTTTATAGTATAACTAAATTTTATTTACAAAGGAGACTTGATTGGCTACGTAAAAAAATGTTTAAACGGTTGTTATCATAGCATGCTAGTAAAAGAAATAAAATTGCTCATAAGAACATGTGCAACATGTCTTTTAATACTTGTAAAAATTTGTAAAATATCTATAAATAATCACAATATATATATAAAGTTTTAATGTGAATAAAATGATTTGTTCGTTAAATTTCTTATAAAACTATAATCATCAAAAACAAGAAATAAGAAATAAATAAAGTATGAATTTAGCTGCTGAACATTTTGGAATATGCCCAATACTCCTTACTTTATTTTCTTTTTTGCCAAGAGAAAATAAAATCGTATTGTAATACTTATTAAAATAGGATAGCTAGAAATTAAACTAATTTCGCTTTTAAAACTTAATACGAATAACTAAAAGGCAATAAAAATTAATTTAAAAACATTTGTTACTAGCTAAAATATTAGTCTCATCCTAAATGATAAACTTAAGGAAAACTATTACAAGGAAAATTACATAAAAACACTCAGACTTCCAGTTGTTTTGATGGTTGATGTGCAATGAAAGGTTCGCTCCACATTCGACGTAAGTCACCCTGAAGAAGATATTTAATAATTCAATAACTGCACACATTTTCTTAAGAATTTGATATTACCTTGAGGTAAGCCATTGTCAGCAATGGTAATAACGTAAATGGAACAAGGTACAAAAGTGCCGGTTGTGCTGCTTTAAACACTTCAGAGCTCACAGTAGCTGTTAGTAATCCCAAAAAATAACTGAAAGCAAAATAGTTTCGTTAGATCTTAAATAAAAGTATCAAAAAAATCTGATAGATAATTCTATTCGATAATATTAGATAATTAATGATACCTAATAAATACCTATAACATTTATATCCGATGACAACAAATCCTTATCAAATAGCATTTGTGATAATAGTGAATACATTTGCAGAAATGTTTTCTACAAACAATAGTATTGATGTTTCTAATTAGTTTTAATTAGTTGTTAGTGACACAACAAGTGCAATAGTTGCTTATGAATAAAAAACAACAATAATTAATAAAACTCTAAATTCGTACAACTCAAATTAAACGTACGATGGCTAGGCTATGTTATGTTACCATGCGGGTCCACTTTCCAATCTTGAAGTCCAAAAATACGGACCATTACACCTATAAATGTTTATGGGTATTCAGAGATATCCAATATAATATAAATCACTTTTTACGACAGGTATACCTTACTTCGGGAATATTAGAACCCCCATCTTGAAGATGCAACGGAACTTTCCAGGCAACTTGACACTAAAAAAATGTCTATCCCAGTGACGTATAAAAATTAAAACGAAAATGTCGCCATATCACTTTCAACCTTCAACGAAGTACTTTCTTAGAAAATACAAAAAACCGTAACCTATACCTCAATCAAAGAACTTAACCTATCCAGAAATATACTTAGATGGAAGCGCATGATGTGAACAGATAGAAAAGTGCCATTCACATTATAAGCTGATGAACTGCCCTGGCTTCTAAACTGTTATCCTCCTCCTTTTAGACTTATTAATTAAACCATTTTCAATATATCGTTTTCAACGCAAATGTGTCAAATATTGAAATCTTTCATAAATGAGTAATGAAAGGGTCACAATGGTGCATTAAAAATGAACATTTTATTAGGGATCTTAAAGTTTCTACGATAAAATTAGAATTCCTAATGATCAGACAAAACACGTTGCAAAACAATTTAACCCAGAAAGCTTGATTTAAAACTAGACACTCACGCCTTAAACTAACTAATCGCCCCGCCAGAAATCAAGCTTACTCATATTATTATTGATATTACTACATTTTCTATTTTACTTTTCTACTCTTGTCCCTTTTTCTATGGATGAAAATTTAATCTGCAAACCACTTATTTACTAAGCATATCTCTTTTGATTCTTTATAGTCAACTATAATAAATAGACTTCCATATAATTTTAGTTAACATTTAATTATATATATGTAACAAAATTTATTAGTGTAGGTGAGTAGCGTTAAGATTCTAGTACTTATTATTTATCTCCAAGATTAAAAATTAATAAAATAATTTAATGTATATAAAAAAACTATAGGCACAGAGAAGAATCTTTTTATAGGTAGCTACATAGAGCCATCCAAAACACATATGTCAGTTGTCTTTAACAAACCAATATTTTTAACCCGTCTTTTCGATTTATATACTAAAATCTATTTAACTTATCTTATTTTGTAACAGAGACGCATTTAATAATTACTATTCAGAAAAACTATTATATATCGGATAATAAAAATAAATCAAGCTTTAATACTTACCCCAATAAGGAACAGTGAAAATATGTCAGTTTAGATCCGACTCCCTTTGGTGGTGACAATGTAGGATCTGATGTAATACCTTGAGATTTTTTATATGCGTCATATCGTAACACAAAACATAACAAAAGCCCCGGCATTACAATATCACCTAAACCCAGCATTGAAAAATGACCACTATTATGTATACTTGGAAAAACCAATTTTCCCGGTAAGTTCAATTTCGGTGGTTCTTTTACAATACTGCCTAAATTTAATTTACGCGCCACAATACCAACTGGATTATCCGCTGGTCGTGTAGCTACTTTTACCATAACATTTGTGCTAAATATATACGATGAAAAAAACACCCAGAATACGTCATAAATAAGCAATCCAGTAA